TCTTCTAGCTTAAAACCACCACCCACGGTCAGTTCCGGGCGCTCTCTGTTCCTGCATGTTCAGACCGCCCTGTGTGCACACAGTTAATAAAATTCCCTTTGTTCTTTGCATGAGAGACCGACTCTTGGGGTCTTCCTTCGCGGTGACTCGACCCTTACAAAAGGACTTAGACCCAGTCCCAGTCCCAGCCTGAACAAGGCTGCGTGCAGTATCGGCGCTCCCCACAGCGCACCTCCAGCCCGTGTGTGCAAGCCAGGGCTCAGCAGGACCAGGGCCGCCCACCCCCAGGCTGCGTACCAGGCTCCTAGCTGAGGGCAGGAGCTTGCTGAGCTCCTCCTTCTTCTTCTTCAGCATCTGGGCCTGCTCTCTCCACTCCTGCAGGGCTCTTTTGTCTCTGTAGAAGATACATTTTTATATTACTACCCCAAGCATGAGCAGCTTTGAGCAAATCTTACGAGGATTTCTATCCATCACTTTCAGCTCTGCTCAAACCGCCTGTTCTTTTCCTGCCTGCTCAACCCCACAGGGCAAGCATGGGTTTTCTCATACATTTTGGGCAGAGTCAGGAGTGCAGAGTCTGATCCGAGGCCCTGTGCATGTCTGTGTGCTGGCAGGTGCCTGGCCAAGGCAGCCTGGCATCCCACGCCCCAGGGCCTGCAGCCCAGGGCCAAGGCACTGGACACTGGGGAAGGGCGTCAGCTGGGCACTGCAGGCATCCCCGCTGAGGCCTTCAGGTGTCCAGGGAAGGCCTGAAACTCCCAAGCAACTCCTTGCTAGATATTTACCTTCTGCTTTAAAAGCTGAGCATTGTCAGTTCCTCCCAGGTCCCCAGGCAGAATTCCTGATCTATGGGGCAGGGCCAGGGCCAGGCCCTTTCTGTGGTCCTCCCTGTGGCTGGGAGCTCCTTTTAGTAAGGCCCACAGGAAGGCACCAGCTACACACAAGTGCAGAATGTCTGAAAACTTGGGTTTGGGGCCTGACCTTGTCCACCTGGAAGCCACTGCTGCAGCGCCTAGGCCCACCTGCCTGTCAGAACCAAGTCCTGCTTTGGGTGTGTGCTTTGCTTCTTTCCTGCCTGCCCTGAGATGCTGTAGCCTCCACCCTCCCTCCTCAGCAGACATCCGCACCCTGCCCCAGAGGCAACCTGCCCTGGGCCCACCCACCACCTCCTGAGCACTTTCCTCGTGGGCCCCAGGACCTCAGCCCTCTGGCTCCTGGGGTGTGCCTACGGGCTTCTCCCCTGCCTCATCTCCTGTGCCATCAGAATGGCCCCAGTCCCCCAGGGCTCCCACCTCAAGGCCCAGGTCTGGGTGTTCCTTGGCAGTTCCTCCCAGGGAGGCCATGTCCCGCCGCCTGCCCGCATAGGTCCCAGCCCCCAGCCCCAGCATGCAGGCACTTCCTGTATCCTCCATGCGGGACTCCAGGTAGTGTCTGCCACCTCTCAGTCATATGGGACCGGAAGGGTATGCCTGCGCCTCAGAAGGGGGTAGCGTTGCTAATTAGGTGACATGGAGGTGTTTGTGTCTGGAGTCTGGAGCCGCGCTGAAGGGCTCTCAGGACTGTTGAGCATGGAGTACGAGGCAGGGTCTCTCAGAGCGCCAGGCAGGACCGTGAGGAGGTTTTACCTACTCTGGTTTTTTGTTTATGGTTTATATTTCTTAATAAGGGTCTACAGGGTCTCACTACATAGATGGGACTCATAGTGATATGCCTGTGTTCAGCCTCCCAAAGAGCTGGGATAACAGGCAAGCGCCACCTCGGCGCACCCCGGGGGCAGGGCCAGCACAGCAGGCCAGGGATGGGATCCCCTGCCTCTGGGGCGGCCTAAACAGGCGAGTTAATCCGCTAAGCTATTTGGCCGGCCCTTACCTGCTCTTTATATTCAAACTTTTTCTCAACAAAGCAGTGTGACCTGTTATTGAAGGGAGACAAGCAGCTTTGAGTGTGTGGGTGTCACTGCTGCCTGGCACACTGCACAGAGGTGTCTTGGGGGCAGTCTGTACCCACTGGGTCCCAGAGAAACAGATGCCCACTCCCTGTGGACAGTGTCGGGAGCACTCTTCTTGGCTGGCCCCCAGGAGGCGGAGAGAAGGAACCACAGGGCCACATGCAGCCAGGCCCCCTCAGGCCCACTAGCACACCAAGGAAGGAGTGGCTGCTGGGAGCCAGGAGAGATGCTGGAGCTGGTAGCACATGGGGAGTGGCCAGGCCCAGGAAGCTCACAGCAGGGCTGGGGAAACAGGAATCTACCCTCATTCTCCCCGCTGTGCTGGGTGCCTGGGGGCCCGTGCATGGGGTGGGGGTCTCAGAGCACCACGGACCTGGTCCATGCCAGTGCCTCCTAGAGCCTGGAGTGGAATAATACTTGGTGGTCAGCAGAGCTGGAGGGCAGAGCAGGACAGATGCACAAGCCGGGCCCAGGCAGCCTCCTAACATCCTGATAGCAAGCTGGCTTCTATGAACCAAGGGCAGGGGATGCATTCGTGTGGCCAGCTGCACAAGAGTGAACCCTTATTTCTACATAGCACTTCTCAGAAAAGGACAGGTCAAGTAGCATCCAGTGAAGAGGAAAGGACTGACGACTAGGGAAAACATTAGAAGGCAGCCTAGCGTGGGAGAAGGTGGGGCAGAGGCCTGCACAACGATGACCGTGATGCTCACAGTGAGCCTCACGGGGAGGCAGCCTTGGAGCATCTGCGGCAAGAGCTCAGGCGCTTCAGCCACAGACCTAGGGGAGGGCAGTGCAGCCAGTTTTCAGGTGAGGCAAACAGATCCTGGGCCTGGACCAGGGAGGAGAGAAGCAACCGGGAGCTCCCTTGAGGCCTGGTGGTCCGGCTGTGGCTCCAGCCCTCAGCCCCACCCCATCGAGCTGGCAGTGGGCAGCCCTCTCGCTGCTCTAGGACACATACCTCCTCCGCTGCTCCATTAGAGCCTGCTTCTCTCGGAGCTCTCTGAGGGCCGCGACTCGGCGTTCCTCAAGTCTTTTCGTTGGAATCATTGTTTGGTACGGCGATGAAAGATCAGGTAAGATGTTCTTGAAGGAGGGCCTCTTCCTTCTAAAATTACAGTGTCTTTATCTAACCATGTAACAAAGTTCTGTGATGGTTATTCACATCCACAGGAGCTTGACTGTTACAAAACATACGCTTAAAAACTTAAGAGCATGAAAAAAAAAACCAAAAAAACAAAAAAAACCTTAAGAGCATGGCCACAGATCAACCACACTTTTGAAGGATGATAAAAATTACAGTGTGGTGGCTCCACAGAAAGCCACAGTATCAATCTGTGTTGATTCTAGTAAATGCTATACAGACAGATTACAGCAAATGACCACCACTGAAAGTCAGCTAACATCGAACTTCGTAGGTACATGTACCCTTAAATCACACCTAGGAAGCAGCTCAGTGCACGGGCATTGGGGCTACAGGAACGGGCAGGCTCAGCCTGGCCGCCCCAGCTTCCAGCCACCCAAATAAATCTCCAAAGGCTGGGATCTGGTATTTAATCTGAGGTACAGATAAACTTGCAAAGTACTATTAATAAGCTTACCGTGATTTCCTTGGATAAATCACTATTATTATTCATAAGAGTAAGTGAAGGAAAGAAACAGGTTTCTAAATAGCAGGTTAGGATACTTCTGTTCTGTCGGTGCTTGCCTACACTAAGAATATTCCAATGGCTCCAAAGCCTCTGAGGTTACACCATAGTTAGAAACCTGTAGCGCTTGCCACCAGGACTTCCAAGGTTAAATCTGTCAGTAATGCTCCAATGTCTTTTACTTTTATTTTTAAAATGATTAAACCTACAGGACAGCTGCAAGATCAGTGCCACAATCGCCAGCCGCCTTCCCTGCAGATCCCCAGATGCTCCCCTGCACACTGCCAGGGGCACCTGTGGACAGGTTTGCAGCAGCCTCCCCATGAGGGTTTTGTGTCTGTCATTTATCTATCTATCGACTTATTTATTTATGTGGTACAGGGTCTCGTTACGCAGCTTAGACTCATGGTGGTCCTCCTGTCTCAGCCTCCCAAGGGCTGGGATTATTGGCATGTGTCACACCTGGTTTCAGTGCCTGGCACAGTACGCGGTACCAAGGATTAAACCCTGGTCCTTAAGCTTGCCAGGCAGGCACTTACACCACTAAGCTATCTCACCGGTCCTTGTTTGTCTTTTCGAGACAGGGTCTCGCCATTCAGTTCAGGCTGGACTTAAGCTCACTTTGTAGCCCAGGCTGGTCTCAAATGCAAAAGAATCCTTCTGCCTCAGCCTCCTGAGTGCTGGGATTACAGGTGTGTGCCACCACATCTGCTTTCCAAGAGGTTTTAAGACAGGGAGACACTGAATTTGTTCCTGCTGCCCTGGGGGTGGCTCTGAGGAACCAAACTATTGTTAATTCTACTTTTGTTTAGCCTTAAGTCCTGTTACTGTCCCCTTGGATATGATGACATACCCTAGAGAAAGTGTGGTCTAGATTCACTAATTATTATTTTCCACATTCTCTTTATTTATGTACATTTATATACACAGACACTCGTGGATACACACATACATATCACACATGTGTACACGTAGTATACATGTAAACCTCAATTATGACAAAATTATAAAATAACTGTACAACACTGCACAGGCTTTGCGTTTTACCTGAACACGTGCCTTGCATTTGAGTGTTCTCTCTCCTTGGTGTTTAATGCTGCCTTGATATTTGGTGGCAACTCAACAGGAAGGAGCTGGTTTTCAAGAACCTCCGCCTTTTCATTCTCAACGATCTCCTGCCTTAGCTTCCAGAAGCGCTTGATCTCCTCTTTGCTCGGCCACGGCTGCGGGGATTCGGTAGACCTTCTGAGCTCACTCAGGCCTAATTGTTCCACAGTTGGAGGATAATCCACCTTTTCCTTCATCACATGGTCCTGAGGGTTCCTATACTGTGATAAATCTTGCACGAGAACTGGAAGCTCATTTAGGTCCATCTTTTTAACCAATGAGCTCTCTGGTGGGATAAAATGCCACGTCAGAAGCCTACACATCAAGGCTGCGCTCCAGCACCCACCTGAACAGCACAGGGTGGCGCTGCTTTGCCAAGACAGATGGAAGGTGGGGTCGCTCCCACCAGCCCTCACGGGGCCTGCTCACAGAACAGGGCTCCCAGCTGGAAACTTGCACTGTTTCCTGTCTTTTGCGGTGAGGTCTCTTTGGAAGAGCACGACTGCCCTCTGGATGCTCCTCCAGTGGAGTCTGCGGGAGTTTCCTGACGCACACTGACTGCCCCCGCAGCCCTGCCCTGCCCTTGCACAGCCTGCTAGCTGCTGCGTCAGCAAGGAGTGTGAAGGCCGTGTGAAGACTCTTTAGGAACATGACCAGCGTTCTAAAGTGAAGCATTGGGGCCAGGGAGATGGCTCAGTAGGATAAATGCTTGACTGGCAAACGCAAGGATCTGAGTTCAATCCCCAGTTCCGCCAAATAAATAAATAAATAAATAAATTAAATAAATAAATAAATAAATAAATAAATAAAATAAAGTGAGGCATCCCAGGGCCTTTTGTTTTTGGCTTTTTTTTTTTTTTTTTTTTTCAGAACTGGGGATTGAACTCAGGCCCTTGTGCTTGCCCAAGTGCTTGTTCTACTGAGCCATCTCCCTGGTCCTCTGGATCAAGAATAAAGACTGTTAGGCAGAGCGCAGCAGCTGGGGTTCCATCCCCAGTGTGCTGAGCCAGCCCCGCCCCCAGGGCACGCTGAGATGGCGACTGAGACTGGGCCTTGTGGCATGTGCCTGTAATCCCAGCACTTGGGAGGCTGAAAACAGGAGACTCACAAGTCCGTCTACATAGTGAGATCCTACAGACCCTGTAGAGGGTCTAAATACATAAAAGAAAGAAAGAAGCAAGCAAGCACTAAGCACACATCTGATCACTGGGGACAGAGACTTTTCCATCTAGCTTCTAATACCACCTATAATCAGAGAAACACAGCCCTCCTGCTTCCTTCCTCCTGCTGGGCCCTACCACTCTGCAGCTCTGGGCTCCTCAGAGCCCCTTAGCCTAGACTACAGGACTTCCGCATGGGGCCCACAGACCAGTGTCACTAGATCACTTCCCTCATGTGCCACATATCAGCCTAAGTTACTGGTCCCAGGTCTTCTTCTACTCTCTCCAGCCCCAGGAGGACGTTTTTAAAGACAATCTTGCTACACAGCCCTTGCTGGCCTTGAGCTCATGATTCCTGCCTCAGTGCTAGGATTACAGACGGGCACCACCCACTCCCCCCCAAGGCTGACAGGAGAAGACTCTTGAGGTATTGCCAGAAAGCTAATCTTAACTGAAAAGCAAGTACACAGATACAATCAAAAAACTAAAGTCAATAGTTTCAATCTACAATGTGTGAGAAGCACACTAAGAAAGGAATGACTTCCTTTAGTCTGCTTTTGTTTAAAAGTAATGAACTCTGTTCCCTGGAATGTTCCACCCTACTCAAGACCTTGAGGGAAGTTACTACAGCCACCGTTGGAGCATCACTTCTAGAGCACAGCTGTGTGTGGACATCTTTCTACCAACCAGTGAAGGATATGTTCACATAACAGCTTCAGAACAGTTCATCTGGGGCTGGGGAGATGGCTCAGTGGAATAAGTGCTTCCCTGGCAAGCACAAGAGCCTGAGTTCAACCCCCAGTTCTGCAAAAAAAAAAGAAAAAAAGAACAGTGCATCTCCAAAAACAAGTACCAGAACTCCAGCAGGCTGAGGTAGGAGGGTCACAAGTTTTGAGACCCTGTCTCAAAATAAAAATAAAAGCCAGGTATGATGAAGCAGGAGGACCACTATGAGTTCAAGGTCACCTTGGGTTATATAGTGAGCTCAAGGCCAGCCTGAACAACATAGTGAGAATGTGTCTCAAAATCAATCAATCTGGGGCTGGCGAGACAGCTCAGTGGACTACAGCACCTGCTTAGGCAAGCTCAGGCAAGCACAGGGACCACGGTTTGAACCTCAGCATCACATGCGATGCCACTCCCACCCCCAGGCACACTGAGCCCTCCGGAGTCCAGGCATAGTGGCCCACACCTGTAATCCCAGTGCTGGGAAGGCTGAAAGCAGGAGGATCACCATGAGTCTGAGTCATGTATTGAGACCATACAACAACCAAATACATTAAAAAAAAAAAAAGAAAAAAAATCAATCAATCAACCAACCAATCAGTGCTTATTTGTAGCTCAGTGTGAAGGCTTCAATCTCCAGTATTGCAAAACAATAACAAACAAACAAACAAACAAAAACCCAATAAAAACTGAATACAGTACAGGGTCAGCTATTGTTTCTTGATCATTTTAGACTATTTCCAAGTACAGCCATCTGTGTCACCATGGAAGGTCACACTGCTGACACAGACCTAGTGATTTATACATCTTATTTGTTTTACATATATAACTTTACTGGCTAATTACTTCAAATGTCGGCATATTCATTTATACAAAATCAATGAGTGAAAGTAGAAAAATTTTAGGTATTGTTAAGTTAATGCTTCAGTACATTTTTTTCTGAACATTCTATAAGATTATTTATTTTTTATTTTTTTGGAAAACATGTGCCTGGTCTACGAACAGACAAAACGGAATAGTTGGGTGAGTGCCCACCAAGAAATGTAAGTAGACAAATGTGGTTATAAATCCACTTAATGCTAATTTCTTGTACCTACAAGAGAATAGGGCCAGGGATATAGCTCAGCTACATGAGCGCCTGCTTGGGAAGTGCAAGATCCTGAGTTTGATATTCTAGCACCAAAGGAAAAAAAAAATAATAATCAATCATAGAAGGGACTAGAGGCAATTCCATTGTGGGGATTTTTTGGTACCTGCGATTGAACTTGGGACCCTGCACTTGCCAGGCAGGTGCTTATGCTGCTGAGCTATATCCCTGGCACATTGTACTTATTTTTAAAGTTGTCTAACAAAGCTACCTGTTGAAGGAGCAGCTTGCTGGTAGCTTAGAGGCAATGGCTGCTTCATTTGATTTCTTACAATGAACTTGTGCTAACCCCACTGTAGACAAGCTCTGTAACGGATGCTGAGGGTATAAATTTATAAACACTGAACCAAAGCAGGGCTGGATGTGACTGGGTGGGTGTGGGCATCTGCATTTGCCATCTGAGCTTAGCGGAAGGCAAGTAAGGGAGCCAGATCTTTAGGATACCATCAAAGGAAGATCAGTCCTACCCCGATTTAAAAAGCCCTGACTTCGGCTTTCTTGTGGCTTGTCATATACAATGGCCCTACGAACCTTGAGAAGCCGCACCCTTAGGGAGGCTGTGCTCCGCTGCACAGATCCGCAGGAAGGTCAGGATGGAGGCCACTCCTTTCTGCACAATCAGCTGAGGAGGGAACTCCAGGGGGCAGTGTCTCAAGTTCAGTGCTCTCAGGGTGGCGACATTGCCTGCAACAGAGGAGAGAAGCCTCAGGCCCGTGTGCTGCTCTGTGGAGCAGACACCAGGAGGAGATGAAAGCAACAGATCTCCCATTTACAAGCGATCCAGTCAGTATTTGCGGTAAAAGGAAGTGGTGGGCATCTGAGGTTTCCTTTTCAAAACTCTGCAGTGTACGCGGATCCCATAGATTAAGAGTAAGGTAGCGAAAACAATTCCACAGCAGCCGCAGCAATCTTCATGTAAAATTCATGGAGCACAGATACAGTATTATCTAAAATGCCCATTTTTGACATAAAAACTACAAGACAGGCAAAGAAAGGAAACGTAACGTATGCTCAGGAAACAAGCTGTCTCTAGGCAGATGCTGGATTTAGCAGTTTTCAAAGTCGCCATTCGAAACATGCCCAAGGAAATGAAGTAACCTATTTTTAAATAATCAGAGTTGCACAAAATAAAATGACTCAACAAACATGGAGTGTCAGTAAAAATGGAAATTACGCAAAATAACAAATTATAATTTTGTTTTATTTATTTATTTATTTTGTATTTTTTAGGGAAAGGCCTACAGGGTGCTCAAGGTCTCACTACTAGATAGGACTCGTAGTGATCCGCCTGTGTACAGCCTCCCAAGAGCTGGGATTACAGGCGTGCGCCACCATGCCCAGTCTCACAAGGTATAATTTTAAAGCAGAAAATTACAATAACTGAAGTGAAAAATTTACTAGAAGGACTCACAGCAGATCAGAAA